TATATTAAACTGTTAGTAGAAGCTCAGATGGGAACAGTAAAGGCAATAATATATATTAGTTTATTCGGTCAGTGACCAGCAAAATGGTGTTAATTTGGCTTCAGTTCCTCCTTCAATCCATAATTGTCTTTAATACAGCATGGTAGTCACAAGGCAGATATTTGGAAGATATGTAGGCAAATGCTTAGCCTATTTTGTGCAGGCATAGTAATAAAAGAGGCAGTGCAGTATTTCTGATTTGAAAAAAAGACAGAAAGTAGGATTAGGGCAATTTAAGCAGTAGTGAAAGGGGCAGTGGCAGCATGCATAGATAAGCCTGTTACCTCCATAGTAGTTACTTGATTTAAAATTTGAAGCAATGGCCCAATTTATCTTTCCATAAATAACACATCAGTGATATTCCTTATTTTACCCTGGAGAAAAATCAATCTATATGGTTGCCAAGAGTCAACAGCAAGTTGATGGCACATAATCATTATTCATATTCCTCATTAACAAAGAAATGAGGTGGCAATTTTAAGCCAATCTTGGCTTTAAACTTGTGGTTAATTCATCTTCTGGCCTCTACCAGACTTCTTTCCATTCCAGTTTGGTTGATGTTACTATTTGTGCCATGAAGCAGTTAATTCATTCGCATTTGAATCTTGACCCCTCCAGTGGAAACAGTGTTCTTTTTCCATGTTTGCTTATTAATTCAAAATTCCTGTGATTTTAAAGCAGAAAATAGTTCCTTTGGCCTCTGGGTGGACTGTGCAGTCAAATTGCAGCCTTTTGGTGGCTTGATGTTGGTATGGTTGTGGTTCCTTCAGTTCCACTTCATGCTAACGTTGGCACAGTGCAGAAAAGCTTAAGTGTTCTCTTGAGAAGGTTGCTCATAATGCTAGTAATTTTTACACATTTGCTAGGGTTGTGCCATTTTGTATAGATTGAGTGTTGGAACTTCTTCTTTCTCAGAGTAAGATATCTTGAAGGGTGCGCTTCAGATGTGATAAATGAAATATCCACAAGTATATCCCAGCCAGCAACATATTACATCTAACTAGCAATCAGTTTATATGCCATCACCCTAATTTTTATTGCAGAAGAGAGCAATTCTTCTTCACCCATAGGAAAGTTATAGCAGAACTTCCTTGTCCAGCCTGAATTCAGGTGAATTATCTACTTGGTCCTGTAACCAGTGGACTAAACTAGTAAACTTCCTCGTTGAAAAATATCTAAGTAGTCTAAAAAATGAAAATAAGAGGAAGTTGCTCTAGCAAAAGAATCTAGATTGTATTCATATGGAATTCACATTTTTTAAAAACATAGAATACTTATACCTGGTTTTTCTGTTTAGGAAGACATTCAAAACAACCATTAGCTACTGCATTTGTGTGTAAGAACCAACACAGTAAAATAGTCACACTGATTGGAAAATACATCCTACAGCAAATAACTCTCTCTTCCCCCAAACATCCTCTGAAGCAAAGATTGCAGTAGTGCATGGGGACCTGTTTGCAGAGGAAGACTGAATGTCTGGTGCAGTGACCAAAAAAAGCATTCCTATTCTGAATGCCCAAATGCCTGATCTTTGTGGGGAATCTTAGCATATAGATGGTGTCAAATGATGACTGGGTCCGATTTCATGGAGTAAAAGCTGTCTTTATTGATAAGATTCTCCCAGCATGAAAATCTCACCAAGTATCTCCATGCTCAACTGTACACTGGTAGTTACTTTACTAGTATTTTTAGAAATACAGTGGTACCTCGGGTTACGAATGCCTCTGTTAACGAACTTTTCGGGTTACGACCAGGCAAAAATTTACCTCAGTTTGCGAACTCCGCCTCGGGATACGAACAGGATACGCGGCCATTTTCCTTCCCATGACACGGTCCGTGGCCATTTTCCCTCCCGTGACATGTGGTCCGCGGCCATTTTCCGCCCCTGACACATGGTCCGCGGCCATTTTC